GGCTCTTCCTAGTGCGAGAGTGAAAATTGAGAAAGGGGCCAAAACCAGAACTTTGAGGAACCAAAATTTAGGGACTTAGCCACAAAGAAAACAGGCAATAGAAAACAACACAGAAAAATTGAAAAAAAAAAATAGCATCAAAGTCAAGAGGAAATGGTATCATGAAAATCACAGTAGCACATGGTACCAAAAAGCCGAAGGAACTACCTCTAATGTTTAAAGCAATTCCAACTTTATTTTCCTCTTCTATCCTCAGCCAGTGAGTATGTCATTAGTAGTTACCCATTCTTTCTAGTCAGAGAATAAGCGAATTAATACAGTCTTTATAAAATAAAAATTATGGTGTCAAAGTATAAATAAACTTTTAGCCTGATTTCAAGCCCAATGTCCTAAATTAAGCCAATTTCTATTTCAGTTGTGAAAAGTAAAGATTATGATTATTTTTTTAAAAATCTCTAAACTTGTTATTAACATCTTAATTCAAAACTAAACCAAGAAAAACAAAATCCTTAATAACGACTAACTGGGCACTTCAAATCATTTATTTTAAAAATCAGAATAACACACTATTTACTCACATATATTCCTGTTTGTTATCAGATATTTTCAGCAAACAGACATCTTTAAGCATCTTCATCTGCTTTTATCAAACCTTCAAAGTGGCTCCTGCTGCTGTTCACAATCACAGCAGCCTGTTGGGGGTAAAGTGTGGGGAGAGAAAAATAATCATGTATTCTTTAAAACTCAGAAATAATAAAACACTTGAGCGGGCAAAAATGTGCATTTGTATGATATTAATGAAGGCCAAATAGTGATATATGTCGACACACGTACTGTAAAATAAAGACTAACATAAGCACATCACATGTTTCTTAACTATTAATCAATTAATCAAATCTTGTGTGATTTAAAATTATTGAATCCTACCTTTGCAGTATAGATACTAAACTGATAAAGATGATATTGATTTTTAAAGGCTTATTTATTTATTTAATCCCATTTGTTTTATTTTATTTATTTTTTTTTAATTTGACCAGAGAGAGACAGAGAAAGAGAGAGAGGGATAAAGCAAGCCACCAGGTCTGGGACTCAAACCGGTGTTGGTCATGTGTGGGAATCCAGTGCATTTAACCACCATGCCACCAAAAATAGTAAGAAGGAAGTATTTAAACACACACAATCTTATACAAAGGAAGTTAAACTGTTAATGGTAAAGAATTTTATGAAGTCAGAAGTGTTATTGAGTGAACATAACAATTCCGAAGATAGGAGGAAAACAAACTATGACTTTATGTATGTGTAAATGTCTTTCTCTCCCTTCTCTCCACCCCAAGAAAAACTTTTCAATTCAGCAAATACTTTCTAAGTGACTCCTGGGTACAGTTTATACGGGATACGGAGATGAGGTACACAGCCCTTGCTTTTAAGCAGTTCATCCTGTATAGGGAAGTTGACATGTACATCTGTGTCATGGGGGAAGCAACAGTTGTATCGAGGTGTTGAGGATGTTGATGGCTTCAGAGAGGAAACAGCAGGTGACCATTTTAAATATGAAAGTGGGGGACCAGCAGATGGCGTAATGGCTATGTCGCTGGACTTCCATGTAGTCTACGATGGTTCGAGTCCCAGACCCGGTGGCTTAAACTCATGCTGGTCGCATGTGCGTGTGTGCCCAAGATCCCAAGAAGAGAATGGAGGAGAATGGATTGCGGTGTGGACGTCCCCTCCACCACCACCACCCCGAAGGGTGGTTTCTTGCTTTCTGTCTGTCTCTCTTTTTGGCGAGCGCATGTGCCCTATATCAAAAACCTCTCTAAATATGAAAGTGGGGTTTAACCAAAGAAAATGGAGGAGGGTGGGAAGTGGTGGTGGGAGGAAAGCTGGGTGGAGGGCACAGCATGAGAAGCAGTCAAGTGCAATGCAGCTCCAAGAATTATAGGGCCATGCTTTTGTAAAGAGGAATGGTGCAGATATGCAATGAAAGGTAAAGGAAAGAAAACTGTACTGGAGTCAGATTAAAAGGGTTTGAATACAGCATTAATGACTGTCATTTTTATTATGTATGTAGGAAGGAGCGATTGCAAGTAAGAATATGGGATGGCATGCACAGAATTGTCCAAAGGAAGATGACTCTGCTTCCTTTTGAAGGACAGATTTGAAGGTGAAGCAGTCCATCCATATAAGAAGTTTGCATTATCCTTTATGTTCTGTTCAGATATTTCCAAATATTAAGATAGAAAATAAATTAAACTTGGGGGAAATAATCCCAATAAAATTTTTTAAATGCTACTTTTTAAACTTGATATCAACATAATGGTCCCTTTAAATATGGTACTACAGTACAGTCCAGGCTAAGTTTCTAGAGTTCAACTGCTTCATCCTATAAAGAAATGGAAATTCAGAGAAGTAAAAGGGGGACTTGATCCTAGTTCAAGTAGCATATACTCTGTCAGAAGCAGAGTTCCAAAATAGGATAAAAGTCTTTAGATTCCAAGATCAGTGTTTCTTCCACATTACCTGGTATTGAATATTAAAATTTGTTTTCTAACCCTCTCTAAAGAGCCCTAGTTTAACTGGGAAGAAGATAATCATTTACTTTCTAAAACAAAGAATTTTATCCATCAAATTTTAAAATTAAGCATTTTCCCAGGGAACACCCTGAAGGAATCTATTTTCATTAACAGAGAAAAACATGCGTAATTATATCAGTTGTAAATAAGTGTGCATGCATGACAATTGTATATGACTGAGCAGCAAATTCTTTTACACTTAAACCTCTCTGAATTTTTTATCAGTAAAATGAAAGAGAAATTTTAGATTTACATAATAGTTACAGTCTTACAATAATAATGACAAAATTAATTTGTTCATGTTATATGTAGCAGTGGTCAATTTTTCTTGAGTACCTAACAGCAAAGAATGGCTATTAATGAGGGCAGATTCCTATAAAAACAAGAAGTATAGTCCTCCCAATAGTGGCTTCCAATCAGATGGGATTTGGAGCACTTGAGAAAGACACATTGCTTCTCCGTAAAAGCAAACTTAAATGTTATCTCTTTAATTAGATATTTATGCTATAACTTATATGTACAAAGAAAGTATTTCATATACTTTAAAATAGTAACATATAGGCTTTTCAATAAGGAAAAAATAATGGAGGAGAAAAAGATGTGAAAGAAAAGCAAGAGAAACTAAAATGTCAATTATTATCAGTATAAGCTGAAAATAAACAGAATAATACCATAGAGTAGTACTATAATAAAGTGAGTACAATAAATTGTTAAGTCTATGACACAAAATTACTAAAATTTTACTCTTATTTATTGTGGATCATTATGAAAAGAAGCAAGATGACTCCAAGTTGCCAAAAATAAAGTTCCAAGATAATTAATGAATATGATTTCACTCAAAAAGCATGGATGTGATGAAATGTATGTTGGATATACAGGATTGTGGAAAGTATTATTATTCTAACATTTATTCTGAAGGCAATTCAGATTCATTTATGAAATATAAATGATTTATGAGACATAAAAGTACCATAAAGAAAAAACCTGGTTTCGGAAGGCTCAAGAGCACTGAATTGGGTTGTTGAGCAGATGACATATGACATTTATGTGGAACATAATTAGTGTTCAATAACTGTGCGTGGTGATAAACAACAGTTAGGAGACCTGTATTTTTGTCCTGACTCTGCTACTCAGTCATTTCTAAACATGAATAACTCTACTTTTCTGGGCCTGAGTTTCCTAACAGGCAAATTAAGAGGGTGAAACTAGACCCCAGGGAATCATTTCAGGTTAAAAATTCCAGTTTTATGCAGTGATCCAGATACCAACTAATAGTGTCAATACTTAAACAATGTTTTCATTCCAAGTCCCTGAAAGAATAAAGCTAAATCAATTTTTTCATGGTCCATTTGGCATGTAATTATTTTGATCCACTCTTTACTTGTTTTTTAAAGTTAACAAAACATAAAAATCCAAAATTTTCCCAATGTGGTTCAGTGTATAACACTTGGGAACTTAAACACATCATAAATATTAAATATATTTAATAATTCAATTACAGATTGACAAATGCAATGGAAAAGTAGACCACCTAAATATTTGAAGAAATTAAACTCCACATTCTAGAACGACATAGACAAACAATAAGCCACTGCATATTAATACATCACATTAAAATATATTTTAATGTGTACTTCCCCCTTTCAAAATGGCAGTGATTATACATTAGTGCCGCCACAGAGCACTTATAAATTTGTTTCTATTCAACATCATCCAGTCCATCATAAAAACTAGTTAGCTCCAAGGTCAGTCTTGGGCCTGAACTTACTGAGTTTTTCTATTTGAAGAGTTACAATCTTTACCTATAACTGCAGCCATCTATCCAGAAATACCCACTGTCTGAGGCTAGGAGAGCTGGTGGTATGTAGGTAAGCCTGAATATATCTATCTTTTTAAAATAAGAAAAGAGATTTGAGTCAAAGGTTGGTGGCATAACTATATATCATAGACAGTTGATACATATCACTTTTTAAGCAAGAAGCTTTGTCAAACTAAGATTCAGGCTACTGATAGTTTCGCTTTGACTTCTGAGTTCTTTCTGCCTCTCTGTCTCTCTCACCTTTAGTGTTAGAGAATGGAGACAAGAAAGAACATGTCAGAATTGTCTGACTTCATATCAGCCTTGCTTTTAAGATACCATCAAAAAGCTGATGGTAACAGAAGATATTTTGTAAAAGGATTCACAGTTAGTTTTAATCAAATAAGTTACAATTCTCACATATCAAGATTCTTGAGAGCTAGCTAGTGACAAATCTGAGTTGTAACAGCTTATGTAATGAGACTAACGCTCTTCTCTGTTTTTATCAAGGCCAGAGTCTGTGGCTGTCAGGGGAAGTTAGTAGTACATGCAGTGGAGTGCTCACCAGTGAACACAGATCTAATGATGGGAAACTGACAGAAAGCAGATTGTTTCCTTGAAATTCAAACATCATCACAATCTGACTCTTTTTTTCCATCTTCCTGGCAAGAAAAGGTACGTCAACTTCCTTCAACACTAGGGAAACTCACAATGTTTATTCATGTATTTTCATTTGCCTCCCTTTAAATGACAATATGCACAATTTAATAGTAACATAAAACCAAACCATCAACCTTCAATTATGAATACTGATATACAGATCGAATGTAATTCTTAAGTGTTACATAAGCATTCTTCCACATTCCTGTTATCTGCTTCAGATCTGAGATGCTGCTTCTCTCCTGGCACTCCTCCTCTCAGCAGGCTCTTCAGCACAGAACAGCACCTCAAAGGCCAAACCTTCTTGCTCAAGGTGAAAGTGGTCAAGGTTCAGTTCTTTAAAAAATGTTGTGCTGGGTCTCACTGGATGGCCTTGTGAGCTCCGACCAAACCTCTTTCGGACAAGAGGAGGAGTCAAAGATAACTCGAATTCCAGAGAAAAATAAAGTGCTGCCCCCTAGAAATCATAGTCTCTGTGGAGTAAGGTCTCTTCCTAAAGAGGTAGAAGTAATAGGGGGGGTGTGTTGTAGATGCCCAGATTTCAATAATACTGAACATTGTATCTTTAAGGGCTGTATCTTTAAAGGCTTAAAATGGACTGACTCCACTCAGTTCTCTGATTTTTTCATAAGTAAGCCAGAACACCAGTGACCAAGGGGTCTGAAAGATTAACCAAAGAAGTTAGTGCATATTTCAAATGCAATTATAAATATACTACATATATGCATATACATCTTTGAATGACAAAGTCATTTTGAATTCACTTAAGCTGAAAAATATTTTGGTATTGTACTGTTGCAAAGCACCTTTCTAAAGCAATTATAAAGCATTTTCATGTCTTTTATCACAGATTTCTCTAAGCAACAATTACAATATTACAGATGTTTTACAGATGAGGACACTGAGGCTTAGCCTTCAAATGCCTGGCACATTGTGGAACTAGACTATGGGCATTTGTTTTCCATTCCTATAGCTCTTTTTAAGGAACCATTACTGGCTAAATAGGTCTAGGAATGTCTGAATTCTAGGCTGGGCTCTTCATATATGGAATATGACAATGAGACAGGAACTTGAAAGTGAGGAAGATGAAAGATTACCCATTTAGAGTTAGGTCACAGAACAAACAACAGAGGTCTTATAACACGTATATATAAATTGTCATTAAATAGTGAAAAGAACTTTCAACTCAGAAAGGCTTTAACTTGAATGAAGTGTAATTATACCTAGAGGAATTATACAAGGATAAGAGTTAGAAGAAGATAAATATTACAGCTATGAACATGAAAGACATAAAAGGAAATCACAGTGTAAACTCTGGAATGGAGAAGAGGTGCCTTTGATCTAGTTCTTGCCTGACTGGGTTCTCGATCAACATTGAGTAACTATATCACTGGAGTAGAGAAACAGGCTTAAGTAATTAGAATGTAAAATATATCTGGTTAGAGAGTTTTTAAAATAATATGTATATCATATGTGTTTGGAAATATTGAGCATCTTATATTGGCAGAGGGAGAATTTACTAATAGTGAATTTAGAACTTTTCTTGGTCAGTTAAATGTATGAAGACATAAATAAAATAAGAAATATATAGGAATATTATATTATTTTAAAAAATAATTATTTCATTTTAATTTTATTGTTATTATTATTATTTTAATTTGACCAGAAAGAGAGAGAGGGAAAGTGAGAAAGCAAGCCAACAGGCCCAGGACTCGAACTGCAGTCATGTGGGAGTCCAGCACCTTAACCACCATGCTACCTGCTGGCCCTGGAATATTGTATCCTTGTGGCAGTAAAAATGAAGTGTGCCAAGGGTATAAGTGTAGTCTGATTAAGGAGCCAGAGGCCCTAGTTAGACAGCACAGTCAATCCTAATTGATGTGTAATCAGACTTCGTGTTAATGACACCACAGCAATAAAACCAGAGGAAAATGAAATAAATATTAACAAGAGATGAGGCAAAACAAGGTTATATTATCTCTACCTATTGGAAGGGGTTGGGTTGAAGTTTAGCTGGATTTTGAATAGAGTTAAAAGAGGGAGATCATATAGCCAAAGAACATGGGGGATGTATGAGTAGGATTTACTGAGCCTTTGCAAAGAAGTGCATGTGAGCACTAGGTTTTGTTTACTTGTTGATTATCTCCTGGTGCATTATGACTAGTGTTAAATAATCCAAGTGTATATGAACCCATGCTGTCTATTCTGGTATGCCTTTTGCCATAACTGCTGGAAAAAGCATGTATTAGATTGTTGGAAAACTCATGACGCATAGAAAAATGACTTTTTCTATGCATTTTTCTACGCATCACGACTTTTCCGGCAACATGATACTTTTTCATGCTTATTACTTGAGAGCTGAACACACAAGAAGAGCTCTCTTGAGTTGATATATTTAAGTTTACAAATAAGCCTTCCCGTTTTGATTCTGTGTTTAGCAAGAAACTTTGTGATTATAACTTGGGTCCCCAGGGAGCTTTAATTTAGGAGGCACACTGGTCAGAGGACTTCAGCAGTTGGATCATCTGACAAATGTGTTATGTAATATGAATGAGTCAGATATTCTGGCCTGATCATCAGTTTCAGTGAATTTATCTGAGGTAAATTTGTATTTTCAAGGCCAATTTACTTGGATATGTTCCTGCCTCAGATTTCTGAACTCAGTTTGTCACACTACGGCAAATCAACAAGGCAGTGACCCTGGTGATCTTTGGGGGTTAGCCAGCTATTCTTTGGTAATACCCCTCCGAGGTTACAAACTGCCTCTTTAAAAATTTCTCTAATTAGCTGCAAGAAAATGAGCAACTCAATGCATTAATTAGTAAGGAGCAGAGGATTCTGAGCTGAATGGGCCTATAGTCAATTCCCAGCTCTGCCACATTCTTGCTCTATGAACTTGAGCACATTTCTTACACTTTAGCTAAGGTTTTGTCATCTGAAAAATGAGGATAACACTACCTGTTTTACTAGGTTCTTATAGTAATTAATATATGTAAAAAGTTTAACACTAAGTTCTTTTCTTTTTCTCATCATTTATATTTTCTGAGAGTCATGTAGAGAGAATGGGTCAGAATAGGTGGTTCCATCCTTTATACATGATATTCACCCTGCTCCTTATCCTTCCTAACCCTAATTTTGTGCTTCAGCAGTGGTCTCACCCATATTTTAAGTCTACCAGACTAGAAACATGAAAGTCTCATTTTCTTCTTTGTCTTCCACATATCGATTACTAATGCCATAGGGCATTAACTGTAAATATCCCTAGAATCTATGTTCTCTCCATTTCTACATTCATTGGCTGGCTAGACTGCTGCCAAACATTCCTTTCTTGCATCCTAGCTTTCAATGTATTTTCTACTCTGCTTCCCAAATACTCTTGCCACCAAACAAATCTTAGTGCACTACTCCTGCGCTTCAGCAGGTGCTCTCTAACTATAAGGTTTCATCGTTAACTACTACACTTGGGCACAAGGCCCTTCCCAATCTGGTCCTTAAGTACTTGTCTAGCCTTATCTCCTACCTCCTCTCTGAGGATCTGCTCTGCAGTCACACTGAATTTTCTGTAGCTCTTCAAACATGTCAGGCCCATACATGCTACTCCCTTATATTTCTCTTGACAAACACCTACCAAGGCTTCAAGGCCCAGATCAAAAGTCAGCTCTATGAAGGCTTTTTTTTTTTCTTTTTTTTGGAGAGGTTTTCGCTATAGGACATGTGCGCTCACCAGAGAAACAAAGGACAGAGAGAGACAGAGAGATAGAAAGCGAGAAATCACCCTGAGGGGGGATGCCATGCCACAATCCCTCCTCCTCTGTTCTCCTCTCAGGATCCTGGGCATGCATGCACACGTGCCTGGTAAGAGTTTAAGCCTCCGGGTCTGGGACTCGAACCGCAGTTGACTACATGGGAGTCCAGTGACATAGCCATTATGTTAACTGCTGGTCCCAGCTCTGTGAAGGCTTTTATTGACTTTGTCCAGTTACAGCCATTCTTACTCCATTATCCATATTCCCAGAGTATGTTCATACCCTGTCGGAGCACTAATGCAACCTCCTTATTTTGACTGTGTCTTCTGGCATTATGCTGCCTGATTTGATGCCCTCAACTACTCATTAATAACCACCTAACCTGCTATGTTGTTAGACTCCTTATACTGCTGTTTTCTCCTCTATAAAAGAGGAATATGACAGTAAATTAACTGTACAGATTGAAGGGAGAATTCAGAGTTGAGCCATAAAAATGATGAATACAATACCAGCCATGTACCAAGTTGATTTATTAATATTTTGGTATACCTTTGTATCAGATATCGACAAGGACTTTGGTTACTAATTTCATGTTAATAAATAAATACTTCCTATCTCTTAAGTGAGATAATTTATCCCCAAAGCTCAGTTAACATGTTAACTACATGTAGGTAGTTCTCAAACCTAAACCTCTACTCCTTCTCTTTTAAGAGCCAGACTGACATATGAAGTTATTCATCTAAATACCTTTACTTATATATCGTATGGGTGTCCATAAATTCACTTAATATATAAAACTAAACTTATTTTAACCTAAAATCTTGTTCCCTGCACATGACACCTGTTTTAGCAAGTTATATTATCACCAGTCACTCAAAGCAGAAACCTGTGAATGAGGGCTGACTTCTTATATTCTCTGACCGTTTCTCTGACTCCATCCAATCAGTCATGTTTCTATCTCCTTTCTACCTCCTAAATATTTTTGAGATCCTCCTTCTTCTGCTCCATCATGCTCTTGTCCAAGCCACCCTTCTCTCTCCTTTATCATTACTCTTGGCCTTTTCCCAACTCACAGGCAAGCCAGCAGACTTCATCAAGTAGTTCACATCACTCCTACTGTGCAGATAGCCCCTTTCAGCCTGGTCTCTGATTCTCTCTGCCTTACCCTTTGCCTCTCTCCTCCAAGTCTTTATGTCTTGGCCTATTGAGCTTCCTTCTCTTCTTTGAACTTATCATGCTCTTTGTCCTCTCTGATAGCCCTTCTATATGAAATATTTCTTTCCACCCTTTTTACCTAAGTCCTCTTCTTTCTTTAAATCTCAATTCAAAAGTTCATTCTCTAAGGAAGTTTTTTTAACCTCCCAGCCTAGATTGTTCTTATTTGATATATTTATTTCTATAGCACTATGCTCTCTTCACATAACACTCATCACTTGTAGCTTCCTATTCAAAGCTAAGCCCTTAGTACAGGGCTTTGCATGGAGTAGGCACTCAATTAGTTACATGTATGTGTGTGTGTGTGTGTATATGGAATATATATATGAAATATATTACATTACATGTCATTACATAATTTATTATGTTAATTTTGATTACCTGAATTCCTAAATCCAGAAATCATCCATTCCTTCAACTATTTTATAACTTATTAGGACCAACAGTTAGTGTAATGGCTATGTTGCTGGACTCCCATGTAGTCAACCACAGTTCGAGTCCTGGACCTGGTGGCTTAAACTCAACACTGGGCACATGTGCATGTGTGCCCAAGATCCCGAGAGGAGAATGGAGGAGAAGGGATTGTGGCGTGGTCATCCCCCCTGGGGGGTTATTTCTCACTTTCTGTCTCTCTGTCTCTCTCTTTCTGGCGAGTGCACGCACCCTATAGCAAAAACCTCTCTAAAAAAATATATATGTATATATATTTTTTCCTAACTTATTAAAGACTGAAAGATTTGTTTTCATTATGTTTTCAACATAAGCTAAACAAGTCTATTTCTGCATTTCAGTTCACTTCATTTAAAAAAAAAAACACTTAAACCAAATAAAAATGACATAATGCTTTCTTACTAAGCAGAATTTTGTAGTAATAAATAATAACAAGTAATGTAACATTTGACATCAAAGTAAGAAAATTGATTTAAAACAGTAAAATTTTCATAGGAATGATTTCTAGTATAAAATATTTATCTATCCCAAACTACTATATTTTAGTTAAGTAGACTACTAATGGTTTTACATTACAGAAAATCTATCCATTGCTCTATAATAACAGACTATCAACCTATTCATTAATGGATGTAACTGCTTTATTTTGTCTTAATCTACCAAGGAAGGTAATGTGACTCTGAAGAGAGGTGAAAGAAAACAAAAAACCAAATCTCTAATCTAGGGCAAGACAATGCTACAAAACAAAATGGAGAAGGGACAATAGGCTAAAATAACTTAAGTAGAAAGAAAATAGAAATAAAGGGAAAACACCTAACTTTACCATTCGTAGCCAAGATGGTAAAAAGCCTTTATAGAGACTCATGAATCCTTCACCCTGAACAGCCTGAATCAAGCAGTCAGTTGATGACTTATACAAAAGTCCCCTATAAAGAAAATAAGAAGTTTTTGTTAAACTTCTTCTGTGTAAAGAGATGTCTAAATAAAATAGTCTAAATTAAATGTACTAAGTTAAATATTTTCTGCTACCTTAGAACATAATATTTGTGATTCTATTGATATAGATAGCTTCTTTTGAGTTTAAAGATATTTTCAAGATTAACACTTTTGATTCATTCCATCCTTGGTTTTATACTTAGAATTCACTCCACCTGATCTCTTCCAGGGTGAACATAATAGTTTCTGTCAAACCAAATTCTCCATGTTACCTATAAGTCATAAGCTTCTGAAGAAAGTGCTTTGTAAATTCTCAGCATTGTATGCTTTCAAAAAACTCTTTGAGGGTCAGCAGGTGGCATAGTGGCTGGGTCAACCACGGTTCGAGTCCTGGACTTAGTAGCTTGAAATGAAAACTGGGCATGTGTGCCTGGTGTGCCCAAAATCCCAAGAGAAGAATGAAGCAGAAGAGAATGTGGCGTGGTCATCCCTCCTGGGAGGTGATTTCTCACTTTTTCTCTCTCTGTCCCTGTCTCTCTGATGAGCACCCTACTGCAAAAAAATCTTTCTCTTAAAATAAAAAGCTTTGAAAACAAATCACATCAAATACCTATCTAAGTGATATAATTGTTGATTAGTTTACTTCCTCAAATAAACAGTTTTTGATTAAATGACAAGTAATTACATAAAAGCTATTTTGTTATTAAACACAAAACATGCAAATATATTTTTATTATGAACAAATATAGAAAATAACTCTGAAAATAAATATTATTATAGATATTTAAACACATTAATACTGAAGACTTTCTATTACCTTCCTTGTTTATCTCGTGGTTGATTCATTATTCGGCTTTTGATGACATCAGCCGGTGTTCCCAGGATAGAAGCTACCAGTCCAGAACATAAACTATAGATACAAATAAATGAGATGGAGAAAAAATATGTAGTAGTTTCTAAATTTTAAGAAATAGAACTTGACATTTAGAAAAGATGGAATACAAAATATATTATTATAATAATCTTCAAAATAAAGATATTTTAGGTAAAAATTTAAGCTAAATATATATAGTCAAGAAAGTGATAGGAAAAAATAAAATCAAAGAATGTCAGACAACAAGTATTCATTAAGCATCTGTTGGTGACAGGCCTTTTTGTAGGCAGTGAACAACAGACAGGGCTCTGCCTTTGGGGAGCTTACAAATCTGCATGCGGAAAAGCAAAGGAAATGTGAATAATTTTAGATGCTGATAAGTGTTGTGAGAACAATAAATGGGGAAATGTGATAGGGAAACTGCATGGCATGTAGTTAATGAAAGACTCTTGAGTAACAGTAGGACTGAGTGGTAAAAAGGATACATCTATGTGAAGATCAAGGGGAAGAGTGTTAGAAGCAGGTGGAACAGTACATGTAAAAGCCCTACGTTAAGAGTTCTCTTGTATAAAAAATAAATTATACACACACACACACATATATATATATATATATATATATATCTTTTCAAATGTCATTGATTTTATATTATTAATTTACTTTGGGGTTGTCCAAATAGAATATAGGCTTCTAGAGTTTGGAAATAAGATCAAAGCTAAGAAAAATCACAACATTGTTAAGGAAAGTAGACATATATGAAGGAACTCTTCTAAAGGATCATTTCAAATTGTTTTGAGGGCCAGCAGATGGCATGGTGGTTAAGGTGCTTAACTCCAAATGACCAACCATGGTTCGAATCCCAGGCCTGGTGGTTTCTTTCTCAGTTCCCTCTCTCTCTGTCTCTCTCTCTCTCTGGTGAGTGTATGTGCTCTGTAGCAAATTAAAATAATAATAATAATAATGATAAAAAACTTTATTTTCAAAAATTGTGTTGCAAAGAGATGAAAGTACTGCGTCTCATCCTGGAATGTCCTTTTTCCCATCCCTGCCTGCAAGGAACCACAGCCCTTTAAAACCCTCCTCTAATTCAACCTCCTTTGTGGGCCCTTCCAAGTAGTTATTTTTATCCCTCTTCTTTAACTAGTAACTTCTTTTAGTATTTTCTACTTTGGACCTACTACAGAGCCCTACACAGTACCAATAACATAAAAGGTACTTGGGGCCAGCAGGTATTGTGGTGGTGAAGTTGCTGGACTCACACATGGCTGACCACAGTTCAAGTCCTGGAGCTGGCAGCTTGTTTTCTTACTAACTCTCTCTCTGGTGAGTGTACATGCTCTATAGCAAAAATAATAAAAATAATAAAGAAAATTATAAATAATAAAATAATAAAAATAATAAAGAATTTTTTTAAAAAAATAAAAGGTACTCAAAGAAGAGTGTAGGAAGGGAAACTTGGGAAAAAATGGAGAAGTAAGACATTTGTGGGACACAGATATGGTTTGTTGCCTATTGGTGATGTCATGTGTATAATAGTCTCAACTGGCCTGCTGTGTGGCGTCTATCATGTTGTATAAAATCTCTTTACAAACTAAATGATGTATAATGATTGAAGGTATAAATAACAATAAATAATAATAAAAAAAATTTTAAATGGTACTCGAACAACTCAAACCTGCTGAATCAATTTAGAAAGGTGATCTCAGAGCCTGTCCCTGGGATGGTCCCATTAAGGTCTAAATATTTTAGGAAGTTTAATCTGAAATATCCTGCAATGTTACATGTCTTTTAACCATTTTAACTGCATTAAACTTTAAGAAAATTCCTCTTTAGAAATAAAACATTGCCTTTCTCAATGTATAGTACCACTAGGGTCTGGGCTTGAAAAAGCCCAGAAATGAGAATGTATAGCAAATATAGAAGAAAAGGTGATAGAACTGGGAAAAAAAAAAACAAAAACAGAATCAAACTAAAGCAATCACTTACCTTGACAAGCCATGTGTCATGATATTATCCTCAAGGGGTGTATTCAACACCAAGTAGTGTTTCACTGTATCATATGTGGTTAAATCTGGCAATGGAAAAGGTGTAAATATTGATTCATTCAACAGTGAATGTATTTTGTGTCAAGCACATGCTAGACTTAGGGCAGGAATGTGTACCAGGATAAAAGAGGAATGTGTACCAGGATAAAAGATACCATTCTTGTTCTCAAGCAGAGGAAAGCAGAGCTACAGATGGAGGACGGGAAAAAGAAGAGGCAGATGCTCAATTATTATCATTTGAACACCTAATCCAGCTATGCCTGAAGTCAGCTCAACCCTTGGACTTTTCAGTATTTGAGCTGATAAATTCCTTTTTTATACTAAGTTACAGTGAGTTGAGACCTTGCACATAAAGACAAAAGGTCCTGATCATTATCCCACAGTAAACATTTTACGCTTTTTTGTAATGACGATGAATAATTATTAAGGGATTTTAAACAAGGGAGTGGTATCATAATGCTGGAGTTTTAGAAAGAAGACTCACACTGTATAAGGAAATAAAATGCAAGGAGGCAAAAATGGATAGGTACATTTGGTTATTTACCAAATATCTGAATGCTAACCATGTGCCTGGCACTGTTGCAGGCACTAGGGAAATAACCATGGACAAAATAGCTAAACTCTCTGTTCTCTGCTGGTAGATGAGACCATAAACGACATCAACTACATGGAATTTCAAATGGTACTTGTTCTTAAAGTAAATGCTCTGAAGACGAATAAGGCAAGGAAACAGGATATGTACCAGAGGGTGGGAGGGAATGGTATATATGCATTTTAAATAGGGTGATCAAGGAGGACCTCTCAATAAAGTGCCATCTGAGTAGAAGCATATGTGTATAACTGTGAGGATATTTAAGAACAAGTGTCCTAAGCAAACAACAGTATGTGTTCTAGCTCTGAAGTAGGAGTCAGCGTGGAATGTTAAAGGAATAGCCAGAAGACTTGTCTAGCAGGGTCAGAGTATATTAAGAGTCAGAGAACAGCACAGTCCAAAGGATGGAGTGCACCAGGAGTCAGGGCAGGATTCTGCGTTGGAAAACTGACCTGGGCTACTGTTCAGAAGGATCGCTCTGCCTGCTCTGTTGAAGGCAGACTGCATGGAGGCATGACAGATTAAACATGAAACCAGGTCATCCTGGTAAGAAATGGTGACAATTTGGATGAGTAAGTTTTGAAGCCCTGACCAGATTCTGGATAGATTTTGAAGGTACAATCAGTAGGATTGGCCAGCATGTTGGATACAGACTGAGATAAAGAATCAAAGCTGGATCTGACCGCACAGTATACAAGGGTTAAGTGTTATGCAGACCAAGGGGCTTAGCCCAATCCCACATGCCCCATGTTGGTCAAATCCTGGCCCTGGCAACAACACACTGGGTACATATGCACCTGTGTCTAGGACCCTGAGGATGGAGAAAAGGAAGAAAAAGGATTAAGGAGTGACCCAGCCCAGTGGGGGATGGGAGGGGACAGGGTGTATACTCTCTTTCTCTCTGGTGCATGCAAGTACTCTCTAGCATTAAAAAAAAAATAAAAAAGAAAGAAAGATGACTGAAAGGTTTTTGAGTGTAGACAATTTAAAAAACATAGATGCCATTCACAGGAATAGTGAAAATGAAAATGGAGTTTCTACATTTTTAAAATAAGATGATAGACAACTGTGGCTTCGACAAAACCAGTTTCAGAGGCATAGCAGGGTAAAATGGCTGTGGAGTAGATATGGAAAGACCAATTGAGGAGGCCTCTGCAATGGTCCAGAAGGAGATCAATAATCCACACAGGAGTGGCTCCAGGGATGGAGTGAAGTATACGAGCCCAAGATATATCTGGAAGGTAAAATTAACTAGACTTAGTGACTAAGTGGATATATAGAGCAAGTGAAAGAAGAGAGCCAGAATCATGACCAAATTTCTGACATAAGTCACTGAAAGGAAGGCGATCTATTTTGAGAGTATGAAAAATGAAGAGGAAGTGCTTAGATAAAAAGGGTTTGGTTTGGACACATTCTAAGTGATATACTTGAGAGATCCAAATGGAGATTCAGAATAAAATTGAAAGCTGATAACAGATTCAAAAACAAAATGAGAAACTACAATAAGAAGGATTTGCTAGGGCCCTCAGATGGTGTGGAGGTTCAGGTGCTGGATCCCATATGGTCGGCTGTGCAGTTTGAGTCCCAGATCCCGTGGATTGAAAATCACACTGGGTGTGTGTGCATGTGAGTCTCAAATCCCAAGAGGATAGCAGAAAAGGGATCGTGGTGTGGCCATCCTCCCTAGGGGGTGATTTCTCTCTTGCTCTCTCTGTGTCTGTCTGTCTCTGGTGAATGTACATACCCTATGGCAAAAATTTTTAAAAAAGCAAACAAAACAAAGAGTTTTCTAAAAACCAAAACACCCACCAAAATGTATAGTAGGCACAGATGGACTGGGATAGAAAATAGACTATAGATTTACTTCCTTTGATGTTTAAGTGATACATTACTGGAATTCTCAAAAAATGCTACTCATCAATTAGTTAGAATCATATGATTGTTCCTAGGAAGGATTAATTGATTAATTCATGTAGCAAAGGTTTATTGACTATACAGGAGAGACTAGGACAATAAGGATGAATCCGATATAGCCCAAGCCTTCAAGGGGCACACACTCAAGTGGAAGATATAAATAAATACATAATAGAAGGCAATGGAAAGAGGTACAATCAGTAACAGCAATAAAGACAGGGACCATATAAACACTAAAAGGGCCTCTAGCACAATATGGCATGGGGTCGGGATTGCAGGAGATTCAGGAAAATAAACATTGGTAGAGAAGACACCTCAGTTGAGTATTAAAGAATCTAGAAGAAAACTAAATAGAAAACTAAAGAAGAGCACAGAAAGTACAATATTGGGGTGAAACCCAGCATGGCATGTGCGGGTTGTGGGACCTTTTAGTTAATGACTTTCTGCTCCATTCTTTGTGAGAGCATCAATGAATTGCTTAGTCTCTGAAGGCACAAACTTTATGTGTCATGTTCCAAAATATCCACTTTATTCTATTGGTGATGAGAAGCCAGTGCAGGGTTGTATGGACACCAGTCACTTGCTTGGGTCTGTGTCCTAGTTAAATCGCTCTGGCTACTATGTACAAATAAGAGGATGGAGGAGGAAATCAGTTAGATGGCTATGGCAGTGGTCCAGCTGAGACGTTCCAGTGGTTAGTATTGCAGAAATAGTCATTTTAAGGACACTAAGATAGTAGACATTGGAGGGAAAAAACTTTTAAGGAGTAGTTAGAAGATAGAAGAAATTGGTCATGCATACGGGAAGTAAGGGGCAAGGGTGAGCTAAGGGAACATTCAGGCTTCTTGGCTAGTGTGCCAGGCTGTACAAGATGCACTATATAGGAATGGGAACAGGATTACCTTGGGAAAGATTTGGACAGTCTGAATAGAATGACCATCAGATAGTTACATATATGGTTTTTTGTTGTTGTTAAGTTTATTTCCTAAGAGAGGGGGACAGGAACCTTGACAGGGCCTTCATGCTACGGTCCTCCCCCAGACTGCAGCGAGCCAGGACATGAGCCCACAGCCTTCCCATATGGTCGCCAGCCTTGTCAATAGCACCCCTACTGCCGTGCCACCATGGCTGGAGCCATGTATCAAATTTAATCTTAAATAAGGGTCTGGAACAGAGAGGAGAACTTGGAAATAGTTGGATCTTCTTTCCTCACTGTCACTGTTTGCCTGTTTTAGGAACTCCTTTCATATATTAATGTAGAATAAAGTGAAAATGCTCAAGGGAAAATATTCAATTATAATTGCCACAGTCTGCCTGTTTCAGAAACTCCATTCATATATCAATTTAGAATAAAGTGAAAATGCTCGAGGGAAAATATTCAATTATGACAGTTTAACACACATAAAGCCTATTACTAATATATTTTATTAAAATAATAAAAGTAACATTTTAAATTTGTCTGATGGAAGTGCTCATGGTTATGACTGTTAAACTAGGACTTCTCAGAATTCAATAAAGTTTCTAAGACCAGCAGTTAGCGTAATGGCTATGTCACTGGACTCCCATGTAGTTGACTGCAGTTCGAATCCTGGACTCAGTAGCTTAAGCTTACACCGGGTGCATGGGCATGCGTGCCCAAGATCCCGAGAGGAGAATGGAGGAGAAGGGATTGTGGCATGGCCATCCCCCCTGGGGGGTGATTTCTCGCTTTCTGTCTCTCTGTCTCTCTCTGTCTTTCCGGAGAGCGCACACGCCCTATAGCAAAAACCTCTCCAAAAAAAAAGAAAAGAGAAAGAAGAAAAAAAGAAAAAAAGAGAGAAAAAGAATTCAATAAAGTTTCCATTACCTCCCATATTTACCAGCGCAGCTCTTTGTATATTGGGTACCCAGCCTGCCCAAAGCCCACGTACTCCTCCTTCAGCTAAGATTTTTGCAAATGCATGATGCACACCACGAAATCTAAGAAAAATGATAATAAAATGTGAACACCTTATGTATTCCTGTGTACGAAATGCAATTGCATAAGCTTCACCTACACCAGCTATAATCTGAAGTAAGATAATGTCTTGTTTATCTGGAAGTAATAGAAATTAAGGCAATCCACATAAATCTAAATTTAATAACCTTTAGGAAAAAAGGTCAACATTTGATTTAAACAAATATTTTTAATGATGTGAGGGAAGAGAGGGACAGAGAAGGGCAGGAAGAAGTAGGAAGGAAGAGAGAGAGAGAGAGAAATATTTTGAGAGTCTCACCATTGCAATCCCTGTCCCAGCCTCCCACCTAGCTGGGATTACAGGCATGTGCTACCATGCCCAGCCTGTTCAGGTTGCTCCAGGATCCTAACCCAGGCCTCCCATGTGGCCCTACCCCTGCATAGCAGTGTCCTACCACTTGCACCACAATGGCTGGGCTTTTAAAAAAATATTTGTAACAAAAATATTGATCAATTATATTGTTATTTATAATTATATTTTATAATTAAAGAAAAATAATAAATATAATTAAAATATTTACAAATTATAGTTTATCTTCTCAGATTATGAAACAAATTAAAATACCCTTCTTAATACTTTACATCAGCAGTGTACATATTAACTAGAGGAGGAAACAGTAGTCATCAGGTTTCTGGATTCACTTTACTGGAGGTTCATGGCTCTCGCAATTTAATTGTACCAATTAACATTTAAAAATCACTGACTTACTTGTAAACTCATAAAAGAAATTATACTTTTAGACCAAAAAGTAAAAAGGATAATTTTATAATAGGAGCTCTTAAAATCGAACACTCTGAGCTTTATGAAAACTTACTATCCTTATTTTGGTCATTTTTTTGTAGACTGATGAAAATGGTGCTGAATCATGAACTAACTGTGGAAACCTATGGTATTTAGGAAAATGATGGGCTTCGCCTAGCCAGAAAAACTTGCAGCAAACGTACTAACTGTGTGGTCTTTACTGAAGCATTATAGTCTTTGTCACCAAAAAGACAATGATATATTTATGAAACATGTATAATTGCTATTATGCTACATGGACAGCTTTGCATATATTATTTACGTTTTTGAAATCTGAAGCTTAAGAAGCTTGACTATAATTACAAAGCTAAAGTATGGCAAAGGCTGGCTTTGACTCTCCGACTGTCTGATCTCAAGGTTCACTTTCTGAAGTACACCATTAAGTACAATCAAACCAAAAATATCTAAGATCTGTAACAAAGAGTGAGAGGAAAGGAATCAAGGAGCAAAACAGAGAGGCAAAACATTTACAAGATGCAGAAATGGAGGACTGTCTGTTGACGATAACATGTACGATATCTTCAACTGGACTGAGTGAAGTGTAATCATGGCGGGTAAATTCATTTTACAAGCTGTAGTGATGTGCAGGGATTGAATGTATAAAACAAATGAAAATAATAATAATAAAGAAGAGAGAAGGGAAAAACTGGGACCCAGTTAAAAACTCAGGTATTTCTGGATCCCAGTGGCTAGTTTTCTCCTCTCTAGCCAAGCAGCATCACTTCTTGCTGGTACTTAGAAATTAGAAGGTACTACAAGATGGAGAATTGAACCCTGGGACTCTGTAAACTATTCAGTTAAGTCAAAGTGGTGCCCTTTTCTCTTCTGCCATGAACATTCTCTCCTCTTTTTAGAGACAGATTGGGTACATGGGATGTGGCAGCTCAACTTCATTTTCCATTGTTTCAGAGAGGGTGCAGGAGGTAAGAGCAAGGGTCAGTAGAGAACTCTCATGGCCCCAAATCCTTCTCTTTTGGTTCCACTTTGGATCTGGAACGTACAGAGGACCAGATCTTTCCTTACTCAACTCAAGTCACCCTGCACTTTCCCTCTCAGGAGGGGTCTATCTAGCTGCAAGATTTCCCCCTCTCCCAGGAGAAACTGGCTAAATGATACTTTAGTAAAGATTGAACATAAAGCTCTTACAAGGAAAACAGACTTCCAAAATACAGAGTAATGCAGAAGATTATATCTCATAAAGGCATATTTTTAAAAAATCTTCTGGGACCAGCAGATGGTGCAATGGTTACATCACTGGACTCCCATGCAGTTGATTGGGATTCAAGTTCCAGACCTGGTGGCTTAAAACTCACACCAGGGGTGTGTGTGTGTGTGTGTGTATGCATGCCCTAAATCCTGAGAGGTGAATGGAGAAGGGATTGTGGCATGGTTATCCCCCTTGGGGAGGGAGGTGATTTCTTACTTTCTGTCTCTCTGTCTTTCTCTGTCTCTCTGGTGAGTGTGCATGCCCTATAGAAAAAAAAAATCTCAAAAAAAAAATCTTCCATAAACTAGGAGAAAAGACATGAAGATGAAGATGGAAGAGGACCAGACAAGTAAGTAGGAACAGTTTGAAAGGTTAACCTTGCTACTTCCTTTCCTCCTAGGAGAAAAGGAAATAACAGTTTTAGAAGCCTAATGACTGAGTCATGTTAACCAGCATGAAAACCTTTTGAGAGAGTGCCTTTTAAAGATGAAAATCTAGAGATTAGAAATATTAAGTGACTCATGCAACACCAATGTCTAATAGGGGTTTATCCCAGGGCATATTTTCCCAACAAACTCTTTATATCAACCTCCAAGAGGGGACAAGTCTAGCTGACTTGACTGGGAAAAGCAGCAGAGTCATGCACACATATTACTTTGTCTGGTAGAGAACATGTATACTTCATCATGCAAAGTAAAGATCCAGTTTGGCTTAGCTTTCCTCTTAATACACAGAGCTTCCAAATTAAGATTCAAAATTAATATCTTTACTGGATAGTGAATTAAAATAAGTCTATAAGGTAAATGTTCAAGATACTATAGCCTCAAAGAAGAAGGGAAAGGTATCAGTTAACTGGAAAACTTACCGCAGTGGTTTTCCTTCTAGTTTCCTTTTTCCTTCCATTTGCATCTGAACCTTTACTAGGTCAGTTGGGTTGGCCAAAAATTGGCCAATAACACCAGCAATCATCCCTCCAATGACCGACTTCCTAATTGTAAAAGGAGATACCTTGTTTTAAAAGTTGCCATTAACTTTACAGATTTTATTGTGAGCCAGTACGAGCTGTTAAAGGCCCTCGGTAGGAGTTTTAACTTAAAATGAAGAAAAGGATAGATCCAAATAAATTACAGAGAAAAGTAGAGGATCGGCTGTTTACTAATGGGAGGGTTAGAAGACCCCCAAGGAGTTAAAAATCTGAAGTTTTAATTCTGACTACAGAGGAAGAAAAACAGAATAGTTGGCCTAGGAGACAAAGACCGGCGAGTCCGATTTTAAAAACTACTGTTTTAGCAGTTTTTCAAGTGAAGAGGTTTGAGAACATTTCTCTCTTTGAAGAAACTCTTTCCATTCCCAGAGTTGTGCTTCACTCCCCTCCCAGAGCCAATGGTAAGCGAGACTAGACTATTACATTTCTGCCTGCTGTCCATCTGTCCTCTTCTCTCCCTTCTTATGGCTCTTATCTCAGGTCAAGCCCCAGTCACCTTGTGATGATTGTGAGGACACAATAGAGGATAATCTATTCCTCACAATAGAGATTAATCTAGGTAAAAGATGATTGGGACAAAGAGGTTTTTTCCTTTCTTTTTACTTTAATCTGAAGAGGTTATAAATGCATAGAAAGCCAATCACAATTACTAGTTTCTTATATTCTTTCCTAGAGATAATAATGCATTCAGTAAATCCTCACCATGCTGGGCACTGTTCTGGACATTTAAAAAATAATACTTAATTCTCATATCAACCCTATGACATTGGTATTACTGTCATACATTAGTGAAGTTTTAGAGATGTGGAAATGAGGTCATAGAGCAGTTAAATGACAGCTAAAATCACACAACTAGAGAGTCGTATAGCCAAAATGTAAATCTGTGCAACCTGACTGCAGAGCCATTAAACATAAGGTGTGGTTGATAGTTTGTGCACACAGAAGCATATCTGTGTAAATATTCCTTTTTAAAAGCACAAATCTAGAATGCCAAATTGTATAATGTTCTGCACTTTGATTTTTTTAAGGTTTTTGCCATAGGGCATTGCTCTCACCCAAGAGACAGAGACAGTGAGAGGAAAAGTGAGAAATCACCCCCCCACCCCCGTGGGGATGGCCATATAGCAATACCCTCTCCTTCGTTCTCTTCCTGGCACTTTGGGCATGCATGCATGGGTGCCTGGCGTGAGTCTCAAGCCACCAGGTCCAGGACTTGAACCACAGTTGGCCAGGTTGGGGGCCAGCGCCCTAACCATCACACCATCCACTGACACCTGCACTTTTTTTTCCTAACAAATATCTTAAAGGTTATCCTTTTTAGATAATATAGTGTTAACTTATTCTTGTGAATAGTTTCATAGTATTTCCTTTTATAGATATACCATAATTTCTTTAGCTAGTATAATTCTAACAAAATTGAATATTTACATAACATTGATAAATCCTGCCAAATTGTTCTCCATAGAATTTGTATCAATTTACATTTCCACCAACAACATATAAGAGTGCCTGTTTCTCCATACAGATGAGTACAGTACATTATTTTATTCTTTGCAAATCTCATAATTACTCTCTTCTCTGTATTTTTTAACATAATTCTAGTTATTCATGCCTATGACTCTATTACTGAAAGCTGAATGATAGCAAGACTGTCTTTTTCATTATTATAGCTTCAGTATTAAGTACAAGATGGGCACACCATAATTATCCAATAAGTACCTACTGACTGAATGAATTGCTCTAATTGGGTCAAAAGGACATCAAAACAACCCAGCCTGAAAGTGGACTATTTCCTTTGAACTCCTCCTTAGCTGGACCTTTCCCATATAGAGGAAATTCTAAAATGCAAGAATTATTTATTTATTTTTTTCTTTTTGGCCATAGGGCACATGCACTCGCCAGAAAGTTAGAGACAGATACATGGAGAGAGGTAGAGAGAAAGTGAAAAACCACCCCTCATGAGGGATGGCCATGCCACAATCCCTTCCCCTACATTCTCCTTTAAGGATTTGGGCACAGATGTACGTGCACCCAGTGTGTTTTTCAAGCCTCTGTGTCTGGGACTCAAACCTCACAGGTGGGCATGTGGAATCCTGCCACTTTAACCACCACACCATCAGCTGGCCCCAAGGCTGTTAATTTTCTACTCCATCACTAATTCTGGAAGTAGTATAACTTCATACATTATAATTTTTCAAGAACCGTTCCAACATATTTTGCCTAGAAGATGAAATTCTACTTATTATCTTGAGATTTGGGGAAGGCACGCACATGTACCTATGGGGATTTTCAAGCTGCCAGGTTCAGGACTTGAATTGTGGTTGGCCATGTGGGAGTCCAGTATCTTAACCCCATCCTTTTCTTAAAGCTGTAATTTGGGTTTTTTATTTATTTATTTTTTAACCCCTGGGGCGGGGGGGAAGATACCATTTCTTGTTACTTATATAAAACTTAATTTATTATTTTCAATAGTTGTGTTATATGTCCCTGTATAAATATATATTAACTTACTTAACTACCTCCAAATTGATATTTATTTAAATTTTAAAAACTTGCTATTATCAACAGTGCTACAGTCAATATCTTTTTGTGTATTTTTTAAAAAGTTTTCTTATGTATTTCATGAGTAATAGGAAAAGAGAGAGGGAGAGAAAAACAAACAGAGGTACAGCATCCCTGGCAACATCTTGACACTGCAATCCATTTCCCAGCCTCCACTAGCTGGGATGACGGGCACACAAGTGCCTGGAATATTCAGGGAAGTTTTTAGATGTTAACAGGCAGTTCTCCCATATGGGTCTGCCTGGCAGAGAAGTAACAAGTTTCACTGCTCTGCTACCATCCAGCTCTCTGTCTTTACGCATAGACACAAGTTTTTCTTTCCTTCTCTTTTTTTAGAGAGATTTTTGCAAGAGTGTGTGTACACTTGCCAGAAGGACAGATGAAGACAGAGAGACAGAAAACAAGAAATCACCCCCCTATGGGAGATGGCCACACCGCAATCCTTTCTGCTCTATTCTCCTCTTGGGATCTTGGGCATGCACATACACTTGCCCGGCATGCGTTTAAACTACAGGGTCCTGGACTCAAACTGCTGATGACTACATGGGAGTCCAGTAACATAGCCATTATGCCAACTGCTGGTCCCAGTATTTCTGAATGATTATAATCATAAAGAAGAAATTAAAGGATTATAAATTTTAAAAGTTTATTAATTTACACTCTATAAAAGCTATAGTATCTATATATCCACTATTAGTTTAAAGACAGTTTTAACTAATTTTTCTGATTACAGGTGAAGCTGAACATTTTTACATGTTTAATGAACATTTGTATTTCTTCTTTTGTAAACTGCCTGTTGATAACCTTTTCATATTTTCCACTGTGTCCTCTATATTTTTTATCAATCTATAGTTCTAAGTATATTACTATAGTAATCAATTTTTTATTCTAAGTATTTTAATTGACATGTACCACATCTAATTCCTTCACATTATCTAATCCTACAAAAGCAAAAGCCTGACAATAGATATTACTCCTATGGCTGAGAAACTGAAGATTAAAAAAGTGAAGCCGTTTGTCCACGTTACACAATAGTCATGCAGGAATTAAAGTCTATTTCTGTCTGACTCTAAAGCCCAAAGTTCATCAATGAAGGTAGAATAAGGAAGTTGTTCTGGGGCCAGCTGGTGGTGTTCCTGGATGGTTAAGGCAGGTGGAGCCCACATGGCTGATGGTGTGATTCAAATTCTGAACTCAGCTACTTGAAAAACAGTGGCCGTGTGTGTACCTAAAATTCCAAAAGAATGAAGGGCAAGAGATTGCAGCATGGCTGTCTGGGGAGTTCTTTCTCTGTCTGTCTCCAGTGATCCAGTGAGCACATGTGCCCTCAGGCAAACTAAAAAATAAAATAAGTAAAAGGTGGTTTGTAAGAATTTTTTTAACACTAAAATCTTGAGTAACTATCTATAAATAATTTACCAGTGTTTGTCCATGTACAAAGGACTTCAAAAAGTTTGTGGAAAATGGAATTAAAAGAAAAATGAAAATAATTTTATTTCTCAATATAAGCTCCACCTAGTTCAAGATACTTTTATAAGCAATAATGTCAGACATTTAGTCCATCCCTAAAGAACTAAGGGTACTGAGAATTTAACCATGTAATGCAGTCTTTTTACATTACTATCTAAAAAAAATGAGTGTACTTTGAAGATTTTATAAGATTATGAAACAAAAAATAAGTCAGAAGGAGCCAAATCAGGATGGTAAGGTGGGCTCTCTAACAATTTCCCATCAAAACTCTCACAAAATTACACTTGTGTGATGAGAGGAATAAACAGGGGCATTGTCATGGAGAATCTCAGGTAATGCTTTCCTGGTTTGCTACCCACCCCATCCCCCAGAGGTTTTTGCTATAGGGCGTGTCTGCTCACCAGAAAGACAGAGAGAGACAGAGAAAGAGAAAGCGAGAAATCAGAAGGGATGGCCATGCCACAATCCCTTCTCCTCCATTTTCCTCTCAGGATCTTGGGCATGCACGCACACCCGTCAGGTGTGAGTTTAAGCCACTGGTCTGGGACTTAAACTGCAATTGACTACATGGGAGTCCAGCGACATAGCCATTACACCAACTGCTGGTCCCATTTCCTGGGTGTTTTCCTGCTAAAACTTTGGCTAACTTTCTCAAAATATTCTCATAATACGATGTTATTGTTCTTTGGCCCTCCAGAAAACAAGCAAAATGTCTTGAGCATCCCCCAGAAACTGTTGTCATGAGCTTTGCTCTTAAGCCATCAACTTTTGCTTTGCTTCCATGTCTACCTCTTGGTAAACTATTCCTTCGATTATACTTTCTCTTTAGGCTCATTCTGGAAAAGCCATGTGTCATGTCCTATTACAATTCTTTCAAGAAATGCTGCAGGATCTCAATCCCACTTGTTAAAAAATATTCATTGAAAGTTCTGCTCTTCTCTGTAGCTGATCTGGGTGTAACAGTTTTGGTACCAACAAGCAGGAAGTCTGTCACCTTTAAAGTCTCATTCAAAATTATGGAAGCTGAACAAATTGAGATGCCTATGGTGTTGGCTATTGTTTCTGTTGGTAATCATGATTCCTCTTCAATTATGACACAAACGAGATTCATTTTTCTCCTTAAAAATTGCCATGGATGGGCTGTCACTGCAGGCATCATCTTCAATACCAACTTATCTCTTCTGAAAATGAGATTCATTTGTAAATTGGTGATATCTTTGGGGTATTTTCCCATAAATATAAAGTATCAATGATTCCACCATTCTTCCATTCAAGCTTCACCATAAATCTGTTTGTTCTTGCTTCAATCTTAGCAGAATTTGCTCTGACAGGTTCTGACAGGCACTCTTCTCAAACTGATACTTTATCCTTCTTAGGGTTTCAAACTAAATCCTATTCAGACATGTTATAACAAGTTAGTAAGAGTTTATTACGTTACAAAAAATGTTTGAGATCTATGCATAGCTTTTTTCAGAATATGTTATTTCCATGAACTTTTTGAAGACCCGATGTAGTCTGTGTGCAGGAAATGCTCAATTACTTGAATTTAATTGTTATTCTTTATTATTTTACACTTACAACAAAGCAATCTTAGTACAAGTGTATATTTTTACATAAATCAAATAAACAAGCACTAAAGCCTTTGGAGCAATATCATATTATTTTCAAAATAAAACTTACCAAAGGGGATAATGTTTATCTTCACTTTTGCCAAATACAACCTCTCGAAGGTGTTCATACGTGACCATTCGACCTCCAGAGTACACTGTGTAAAACAGACCATGAAAAAGATTAATTTAGCAATGTCTAATAAAATAAGACAGTTTTACCTAGTCAGTTTCTCTAGCTGTGTCTTTCTCTCATGCACCCTATGCTGCTGATGTGGGTTTCTTAATGTTTCTCCAAGTGGTATCTGACCTTTAAGTCTTAGGCCTCCCATTTTACTGATCGTTCTTACAACACATTCTCTTTTCACTGCTTTGCTAACTCAACTGTGTAAGACTCAATTCAAAAAATGTTTCTTGGAAAGTACTCTCTGACTTTTCCTAGAACAGTCCAGGCTATCATTGAAAACAAGTTGGGACCAGCAATTACCGTAATGGCTATGTCGCTGGACTCCCATGTAGCTGACCGTGGTTCAAGTCCCGGATCTGATGGCTTAAACTAATGCCAGGCGCGTGTGCGTGCGTGCCCAAGATCCCGAGAGGAGAATGAAGGAGAAGGGATTGCGACGTGGCCATTCCCCCTGAAGGGTGATTTCTCGCTTTCTGTCTGTCTGTCTCTCTTTCTGGCGAGCACACGTGCCCTATAGCAAAAACCTCTCCAAAATAAAAAAGAAAACACGTTAATATTATAATCATCATAGTCACTAGACTATTAACTTGTTTTTCTTGCTTATCGTTCTATCAGATGATGAATTTCTTAAAGCAGGTTGTGTGTTTTTATTACTCCATATGCCCTAGTACATAGAGATAATGAGCGTTTTCATTGCATAAACATATGTAACATCATTGGAGGTTTTTTTATATTAATATACTGTGTCGAGTGTCAAACATATGAAATGACTAGTAACTGCAAAGAAATATACAATGGCCAAAACAAAATACAAATAAAAATGTAAAACTCTAAACAATGGGAGGCAAAGGAAAAAAATTTAAAAGATTAAAAACTCATTGAAATTAGTACATGTATTCATATAGAGAGCTTTCCATGATATTTCAGAAATTTTGATGAAATATTTTCAGATATTTAAAAGTACACAAAGTACAAAAACAGTTATAGTTTCTATCCAACATTTGGATTATTCTTGATGAATACTCTAACTTACTCATGGGAAGAACTGAATCTTTAAAAACAATAAGCTGGTAAATATTTGAATTGGTCACTTTTCTGATCAAGGGTTCCTAAATGCTTAAGGAAACATTAAAAATACAGAGGAGAAAAATGCCATACCTATCCGACCTCCTTTTGAAGCAAACTGTGTATTGTTCTGTCCATAAACAGAAAACCACTCTTATTTTTTGGAGAGCCACTTTGGAAGCCAAGCAGAAAAGTATTATCATTGGCACAGTTACTACATATTTTCTAGAAGATTCACTAGAGGCACACATAACTATTAGTTAAGCAGCCTGCAAACCTAGGACAAAAATTAACTGTTTTGCAATTATCCTACTGCCAGAGTTGGATTAGGACTGATCTTTATTCTCTTTCAGAGTAGCTTTGTCTCTCATGCATGGGACAAAACCATGAGATTTGACATTGTAGTAAATAAATTTTAATTTTTGAAGAACATGAAAAGTTTAAATCCTGTATTTAAAGTTTCTGAAGTAGAGAAAAATTGTATCAATTATTCAGGCTTCCTTCCTAACCCTTTAAAATCCTTTTATTAGGAAAAATTTCAAACATACAAAATGTAGAGAAAATAATATATCTCCCTCTGTATCTATCATTGAGATTTATATCAATTGATAGTATTTTTTATGTATTTTCTGGGTTTTTTTCTTTTTTGCTTAATTATTATAAAGTATTGATACTTTACAAACCTCATGACAAGTTATCCTGAAATATTTCAGTATGCTATTCTAAAACTGTAGGACAGGGGCCAGCAGTTGGCATGGAGGTTAAGGGGCTGGAACCCACATGGCTAGCTTCATGATTCAAGTCCTGGAATCAATAGCATGAAAATCACAATGGGCATATATATGTGTGTGTGTGTGTGTGTGTGTGTGTGTGTGCCCAAAATTCCAAGAGAAGAGTGAAGGAGAAGAAACTGCGGCATGGCCATCTCCTCTGGTGGGTGATTTCTCACTTTCTCTCTCTCCCTCTCTTTCTCTGGTGAGTGAATAAGATCTATAGCAAAAACTAAAAACAAACAAACAAACAAGCAAACAAAACATTCAAAATAAGACAATAACTCCATAATAACAATTGGTAGTTAACTGTTTTGCCTTTGTTTGTTCATTTGTTTTTAAAGAGTCTATGAGCAGACTTCAAACCATTTATGGAAAAATGGAGATACAGTCAGAGTTTATTCTGATGGAAAAATTTTTGAAGTGCATGCATAGCTTTTCATAATATAGTCACTTCTCACTTAAGGACCTACTTGTTTAACCACTGTTTGGGCTTATGGTTAGTTCTCCAGCCTTTCTCAGTCTCTGTCTTGCTTCCACAGTTAGTTAGTATTCACTATATACTAAGCATTTACAATAACACAGGACTACATATTTTGTGTACAAATATGTTATGGTGTACCCATAGTAGTACTCAGAATAAATAAAAACAGTAATTATTAGTTAAGCAGCCTGCAAACCTAGGACAAAAATTAACTGTTTTGCAATTATCCTACTGCCAGAGTTGGATTAGGACTGATCTTTATTCTCTTTCAGAGTAGCTTTGTCTCTCATGCATGGGACAAAACCATGAGATTTGACATTGTAGTAAATAAATTTTAATTTTTGAAGAACATGAAAAGTTTAAATCCTGTATTTAAAGTTTCTGAAGTAGAGAAAAATTGTATCAATTATTCAGGCTTCCTTCCTAACCCTTTAAAATCCTTTTATTAGGAAAAATTTCAAACATACAAAATGTAGAGAAAATAATATATCTCCCTCTGTATCTATCATTGAGATTTATATCAATTGATAGTATTTTTTATGTATTTTCTGGGTTTTTTTCTTTTTTGCTTAATTATTATAAAGTATTGATACTTTACAAACCTCATGACAAGTTATCCTGAAATATTTCAGTATGCTATTCTAAAACTGTAGGACAGGGGCCAGCAGTTGGCATGGAGGTTAAGGGGCTGGAACCCACATGGCTAGCTTCATGATTCAAGTCCTGGAATCAATAGCATGAAAATCACAATGGGCATATATATGTGTGTGTGTGTGTGTGTGTGTGTGTGTGTGTGCCCAAAATTCCAAGAGAAGAGTGAAGGAGAAGAAACTGCGGCATGGCCATCTCCTCTGGTGGGTGATTTCTCACTTTCTCTCTCTCCCTCTCTTTCTCTGGTGAGTGAATAAGATCTATAGCAAAAACTAAAAACAAACAAACAAACAAGCAAACAAAACATTCAAAATAAGACAATAACTCCATAATAACAATTGGTAGTTAACTGTTTTGCCTTTGTTTGTTCATTTGTTTTTAAAGAGTCTATGAGCAGACTTCAAACCATTTATGGAAAAATGGAGATACAGTCAGAGTTTATTCTGATGGAAAAATTTTTGAAGTGCATGCATAGCTTTTCATAATATAGTCACTTCTCACTTAAGGACCTACTTGTTTAACCACTGTTTGGGCTTATGGTTAGTTCTCCAGCCTTTCTCAGTCTCTGTCTTGCTTCCACAGTTAGTTAGTATTCACTATATACTAAGCATTTACAATAACACAGGACTACATATTTTGTGTACAAATATGTTATGGTGTACCCATAGTAGTACTCAGAATAAATAAAAACAGTAATGCTGGATCTTTATTATTGTGTTGTTCTGTGTCTTGTTGACTTCTCATGCTTATCAATGTATACTTTTTATATGGATAGAATTACATTATTTTAGTGTGGCGTCACATGATATGTACTGAAAAACAGTGGTACCCTGTGGTACCACAATACACACAAGACATCTACTTTTAGGCTCTTGCTTATGACCAATTCACTTAAGTATCTATTCCTGGGAACAAAACATGATTGTTAACGAGAAGTGCCTGTATGCATTTTCATGAACTTTTTGAAAGACCCTTTGGATATATTAATTTATCATATTAGTAGGAAAAACCTGACTGGTTTTTGGACACAGCTAAACAGAAAAGCAGAAACACAAAGAACGTATAACAAACTTACCAGTCAGAATCAAGATAAATACCTACGTGTCTGTAAATGGCGGGCGTCACTCCTTGCCAAAGCTTTAGAAAGCCTTCCTCTTGAACAATCCCCAGGGCTGTGCGCACCATGCCCCTATAGGGAGCAGGTTCTCTTGCACTATCTCCCAACCGAGCAAGAGCAGCTTCTCCTTGCATTTGGAGTCGAGTTTTTGTGAGATCAAGGGGAAAGGTTGCTAACAAAGAAAGCAAATGAGGGGAAACCCCCGCAAAATTCAGAGAAGCAAACAAAAATCTTGAAATCATAGGACTAATATTTTCCCCAACAACAGGGGTTCTAACATTTAAAAATATATGATAATTAGCTAAGAAGACTGTTAAAAAGTACACATTTCCTAGCCCCATGCTCCTAAATTCTAATTCAGTAGGTTGATAAGCGTATAGAATCAGTTGACATTCACACAGGACCAAATTTAGGAATCACTGCACCTCAGCATCCCAGATCACCAGTAGAAAAATTGAAAAGAAACAAGCCTTAGATTCTTTTTTCCTTAGAAATTTCAGTCTGAAATCTATTTAGTTTTCTTTTCTTTTTTTTTGCTTCATTTTACTTTCCAGTGGGAAATAATTTAGTCTCTTGACTGCAACCATGATTGTTTAAAATCTGATGTAACTATAGGATATCGTACTATATACTTTTGTGTACTTTGGAAAATGCTAGACAAAGGTGAATTATATCATTTCATAAGTGATGTTCACATATAGATGAAACACTGACCTGATGTTTGAGATACAGAAGATACAATGGAGTATATAATTAATGTCATCTTTTATATATGAGAGTGGCATGCTCAATACTCTTTCAATTAAAATACCTATTGTTTCTCTGGCACTGATAATTTGCATGCATGGCTTACTCATGGCCTGCTTATAAGTACCAGTTGAATTTGTAAAAGTATTTTGTTTACATTGTAAATTATAGACCTTAAAACTGAGCTAGCCTAATTGACTCAAATAAGACGGATCAAGCTCATAAACTTGTATACACAAATAATAACATTCAGACACATTCATGAACATTACCGACACTACGTAAGACTTTCAATGACCTGATACAAAATCCTTGTATGCTTTTCCCAAAAAGAAAACAGAGTCGGAGGAGAAGAAAATATTAAATCTTATCACTGGTCTTTGGAAGTTAGTATCTTGTGGGTAGGTTCCCTCAAACAGAATAGCTTACATGCAATATTTTATCGAAATATGAATCTGAGAAGTTTTTTTTTTGAAGAGGTGTTTAGTATATGACAGAGAGAGACAGAGAGATAGAAAGTGAGAAATCACCCCCCATCCCCCCCCAGGGGGGATGGCCATGCCGCAATCCCTTCTCCATTCTCCTCTCAGGATCTTGGGCAAGCACACACACACACGCCTGGCGTGAGTTTTAAGCCACCGGGTCCAGGACACGAACCGTGGTCTACTACATGGGAGTCCAGCGACACAGCCATTATGCTAACTGCTGGTCCTGTATCTGAAAAGCTTTAAGAAGTAGAAGCCTCTACATTGGCACAGATTATACCTCTCAAAATAATGTTTGTTTCCTTGCTGGCTACTCAAATAATACTTCAGATTCTGATTCTGAATTAACTGGTACTGAAAACCACCCCATATTTTGTCTCCTGCCTCCCATCCCCATTCCCCACATAGCTCTCTCCATAAATGTTTAACAAGAGGAACAAAAGTATTGAATCACCAGAAAAACAGTTCATAAAAACAAAACTGGAAGTATACCTAACTAGTCACCAGCCTGCTTTTTTAAAATTTTAAGTTGATGATTTTTATTTCAGTAAAAACATTGATAAATAAAAATTCTTTGTCAGTTCTGAAAGGAGAGAAAGAGAAAAGTAAGGGGGCCAAAGGGCAAGAGGAAGAGTAGAGTGCCAAGGACAAAACAACAGATGGTGTGCTGATTATGCTAGAAATACAAAATAAACTCATTTTATTACAAGAACAACTGGGACCAGCAGATGGTGTAATGGTTACATTGCTGGACTCCCAGATCGTCGACCATAGTCCAAGTCCCGTACCTAGAGGCTTAAAACTCACACCCAGAACGTGGGTGTGCATGTCCAAAATCCCAAGAGGAGAAGGGAGGAGAAGGGATTGAAGCATGGCCATCCCCCTGGGGGTGGGCGATTTGTCCCTTTTTGTTTCTCTGACAAGCGCATGTGCCTTATAGCAAAAATGTCTCTCTAAAAAAAAAAAAAGAACAAGAACGGCTAACATTTATAATTGCTAACACAACAGGCTGCCCCTCCCCACTGGCAAGAAAATACGAGACATCTTAAAATACAGTTTCTGTTTCACAGGGCATTCATAGGAACTCTACTCAAGGAAACCTTGAAAGAAACACCACCTGCTCATACAAGGGCATCACAATTCCACTCTATTTGGCCTCTTAAAGTGTTGTCTGAATGGTTTGGGGAAATATTCAGTGTTCTTCTATGCTCTGATGATAACTAATAATAGCTTCATTATAATAAGTAGCACATTGTAATTGTCTTTCTCTGCCCGTTTCCCCACCAGCCCATAAGAAGGTCAGAACTGGGTCTTTCCAAATAAATATCCACAGTCTCTCGTATCGAAGTAATTATAATATTGAAATGAATGGTTTCCCTGCCTTGGATTTAGCACTTCTGTACTATTACCGTCTCAGAATTCTGCAAGATAAACATAAGACAGGTGAGTTAAGCTCAAGAGGTCAAGGGACCTGCAGATGTTGAGTACAAGCTCAATGATAGGCTGGTTAATAATTGAAGTCCCACAAGGTCCGTTGACAACTTGGCCCCCAAAGACAATGGCACAGTAAGGCTGTGTTAAGAATGTAAATCACAGAGATGATCTCCATGATCGAGGCTGTGTCTTTAAAAAGGTCATTCTCTCTAACAGGAAAACGATGCCTCTAGAGGAATGACAGCTCGGGAAGCTTCTAAAAGTACACGTTCAAGCACCACAGCACATCCATGAGCGAAGGATTAGAAGAAATGGGAAGGAAAAGACGTTAGAAACCTCCAGTCCCTCCTCCTCAGGACTTTGGCCCTGCGGCCGCCCTGCGCATCCGCCAGGCAGGCGTGGAAGAAGAGGGCGCAGCCTCTCGGGATGCCTGGAAAGAAGCTGCCCGCCCGTCCCTCCCCTAGCGCTGCACCGCGGCGACTCGTCCGGGAGGCCCAGGCGTGGGCGGCCGGGTTGCTAGCTCCGCCACCGTAGCCGCGCAGCCGGACAGTAGGAATTTGCTCGCTCGGGGCCATCTCTGGGCGAGCGGCAAGAGCCTCTCCTCCTCCTCCGGGACGGACATTCAGAAGCAGGACCAGGACGACAATGCACCCTTTCTTGCCGGCGCACCGCGCCGCGGATGGCCCGCCACCCTGCCAGGGCGGCCCCCTGCTCAACTGGCGAGCGGCCGGGCGGGGACCATTTCCCTAGCTCGGCTCCTCCGCGCGGCGGACCCGCAGCCTTCCTAACAACCCCCGGCCAGAGTGGTCCAGGTGCCCCCAGCTCCCCGGAGCAGAAAAACAAAGCGGCACCAGGAGGCTTCTGGGAAATGAAGTCCTCCGCGCTCCACGACCTCGCTGATTGGCCCGCGCCCAGGCGCCCGCTGCGCCACCGCCCTCGGTCTCCATGGCAACGGGGCGAGTTCCTGCCTACCCAGTACCTCCTCGACGTTTTTTTTTCTGTGGTGGCCAAGACTTTAGAGAGGAGTTGACGTGGGAGGGAGCAATGATGCAAAAATCCTCTCAAAATCGGGGCGGGGAAGGGGAGCTACGGTTACAAAGAGGAACAAGTGTCCGAAGTTGCGGCAGAAAGTTAGGGAGCAGAGCGGATAACTCACCGCGCAGGGAAGGAGCAAGTGCCAGGGCAGCGGGACTTTTCCCAAAAGATCCGATTTTGGAAGGCACTTGACAAAAACATGGAGCTGTTTTCCTCAACAGTGCTTATAATCCTAGGTTGCGTTGCTCTTTTCTTATTCCTTCAGCGGAAGAATTCGCATAGACCGCCGTGCGTTAAAGGCTGGATTCCTTGGATTGGAGTTAGTTTTGAGTTTGGGGTAGCACCTTTAGAATTTATAGAGAAAACAAGGATCAAGGTATGTAGACCTTTTGCTTTCCTCCTTCTTTTTTTCTTTTTTTCCTTTGGGTCTCAAGCACAGCGTTGGACCTACCTCCCGCGATTAATGAGAGTCGTTTTTAATTCCTCAAGTAACAACACGTCCTGTACAAGGTCTTGCGAAAGAAATGAAATACAATGCAGCTTGCGCCTGCTGCTTTTGCGAAGTAGAGATAACTTTTAAGTCCTAGTTATTCATCATAGTTAAGTTCGAAGTGTTTATGTATTAACCATGTGATTGCAATTAATTTGAAAAGTCAGAAGTGTAATACGATTTAAGTATGTGAAAATGAGTAGTAAATTCGTACCCAAATCGGAATTAACGCCAAGATATTGTAAAAGTTGCTTGCACCGTTGAGCCTTAACAAATTTAAGGGCACTGTATTTTCAGCTGATGGTGTTATTTGATTATGATAATAAGCTCCGTTTTCATTGCACCATTTTCACTGCTCGGATTAGTAATCATTAATAGTTTTTGTCCTTAAAGTATCTTTTAAATGTTCTGAACATTTTAGGGAAAGGACTTTTGTTAGCCTTTTCATTTGTACATAATTTCCAGTTGCCAGGATTTTATTTTATTTTATTGATAATTTGTATTAGCACATTAATCGTTGGCATTTTTTATGTATTATAATACTTTCCAGGGTGATCCATTTACCACTTTATAGTTCCTATCTGGTTAGACCAATTTACACAATAATTTTACACACAATAGCATTGTGTATACCACTCATCCTTTATCTTCAAAATCTCTGATATTCCAACTTAGCAAAAATGTGGAGAATGCTGAAGAAAACTAAACTTAGGAAAATAAGAATAACCCAGAATATCACACCAGAAATCAACACTAGAAAATCAGTGTATTTTATTTTGGCTATTTTTGTATACACTTACGTACTATTGATATTGAGTAAACAACAATGGAATAATGCTATTGTATACTATTTTACGTGCTTTTGAATATAATTTATAATGTGACTAACTTTCCTATCATTAAGTACTTATCTAAATCTTCTTTCTAGTGACTATATATCACCATATGAGGACATGATAGTTCATTAAAATCTTAATAGTTGGAAATAGATATTGCTGTCACCTTTTTTTCTTCATTTTAACCTGTGTGTGTGTGTGTGTGTGTGTGTGTGTGTGTGTGTTGTGTGGTTGCACATGTTGCACTTCTTTGGTCGTTCCCTCAAAATAAATTTCTAAAAGTAGAGTCAAAAGACATACACACTTAATTTTTTTATATTATTGCATTACCCTTGCAGAAGGATATAACAATATACAAAAGAACATCAAAAACTTCATGGGAAATGCAGATTATGAGTTTACATTATTTTTACACTAAAATATACTCATACTTGAATTCCACTTCTCTAAAAACACTTTGAAGTCTCCTTGCATAGCTTTTATTTTCCTTTGCATACATGGAAGTGCCTGGCTTCTCACATTCTAGACCACACTAGCTACAACAATTTGCAACTTTTGCTAATATGTTAGATTAAAAAAATGTTATTTCCTAAGGAAATATTTCTTTGTGTCCACAGTATTCCTTATGCATAAGATTTTATTTTTAAGAAATGCTTTTTTAAGCTTTTCTCAGAATGTCAAATATTTGTGAGGTCTCTGTAGCTTTTGATTGAATGAAACAAGTTCTGTGAGTCAACTATTATATTATCTGGCATAGTATAAATTCTTTTTTTCTGGAAATATAATGAAGATGATTTTATTTGTTAACGTTTGAATGTCAAAAACTTTCTTTTTTTTTTTTATGAGGGGAAGAGACATAGATATTTTTGACAGAATCTCTTTACTTTGCAGTCCTGCCTCAGCTTCCCAGTTACCTAGGACTATGGGCACGTGGCACTGCACTCGGACTGATTTGTTTGGTTGGTTGGTTAGTTTTTTCTTTTTTTAGAGATTTTTTTTTTCTTTCCTTCTTTTTTTGGCTATGGCTATATGTTATGTGCACTCATTGGAGAGAGAGACAGAAAGGGAGAAATCACCTCCCAGGGGGGATGGCCATGCCTCAATCCCTTCTCTTTCGTTCTCCTCTCAAAACTTTTGGGCATGCACACATACTCGCCTGGTGTGAGTTTCAAGCCTCTGGGCCCAGGACTTGAATCTGTTAACCACATGGGAGCCCAGCACCTTAACACTATGCCACCTGCTGGCCTCCCCAACTGGTTTTATTATGTTGGGCCTGGAACTAAGCCTGGGCCTCACAAGCTGCTTTATGCATTGTGCGGCAGAGTCCTCCTGCTTGGCTCACTGCTGCTGAGCCTATTAAAAACTTTTTAAGCCTCACTCTTGCTGCTTCCCCTTGGCCCCTCTCCATATATGGGCAGCATTATAAGAAAGATTCGGTGAACCCATCATTGGAGCCAGAGGGAGCTGCAAATCACTCAAGCCTCAATCCACATTCACACTTGCCCACTTACTAACCCCATTAAAATCCCCAAACTCTTGTCTCCTTCTCAAAGCATTTTCAAATCATCTTGGGAGTCCTGCCTACTCTTTCCAGGAAAGCCCTCGGATGTATATGGAGGCTTCAAAAAGTTTATGGGGAATGGAATTAAAATATAAGTTTATTTTAGTGTAAAAAAAATTGAAATTCATGCCTGTTTTTTTTTTTTTTATATTTATGAACATTTTGAAGACCCTTCTGAGTAGTAAACCTTTCCATACCTTCTGGATACGTGTACATGTATGACATCATCAACTCTATATCTAAACAAATTTGGGAGGTTATCCTTTTTTTTTTCACAGTGGTTGCAATAAGTACTCATTAGTAGGTTTGAGAAGAAATTGCATCTAAATGGCAACTGTATAACACATTGCATATGGCATTGAACATTCAGGAAAAAACCTCTAAAATTACATTACGAGCTGTCACCCTCAGCTTCTCCTACTCCTGGAGAAGACAGAATGGAGAAAATTTTGGTGACCACAAAAATCTTCGCTTAATTTTTATGAATCTTTGAATGTGATTAAAAATTTTTTAAATATATTAAAACTACAGACAAATCCCTCTGACCTTTGTCTCCCTTCCACCTAGTTCTCACCCTTCACTCCCAACCTTGTTAACACCGTAATTGATTTCTTACATGTATCTTTTCTTAGTTCCTTTAATTTAAATGTATATAAGCAATACAGTTATGAACATTTTTTATTTTCAACTTTTGTAATTAAAATGCATCATACTATTCATACTATTTTTTTATCAATAGATTTTGAAATCTTTATATGCCAGCATCATGGTAGAACTCCTAATTCTTTTTTTTTTTAAAGATATATGGATATGCTAAATAATTTTACAAGTTGCCTCTTCGATAGATTTCAATTGGATTTCAATTTCTTTACACTAAAATAAACTTATATTTTAATTCCATTTTCCACAAACTCTTTGAAGCCTCCATATACATCCGAGGGCTTTCCTGGAAAGTCTTACCTGTGTGGTAATCACATTTCTGAGATCTCCTACAGTAATCTCCCTTCCGGTATCCCCTCCCTGTGTAATCACCTCCTTGGTTGTCAGCAGAACCTATAATTCACTTCTAGTGAATTGATAAGGCACAGTGATAGCCTGCCCTCTAGGCTTTCAGGCTGATAGAAACTATTGCCTTCCCAGCTTCATGCTTTGATAAAGAAAGCTGCTAAGTTGAAGAGCCCTGTAAGGTCACAAACAGGGGAAGGCCCTGGCTAACACTGGTGAAGACTACTTCACTAACACTACTTCAATCCGATAGCCTATGAAAAGCTGCATCTTGCCACCATGTCAGCTTAGCAGTGGATTGTACCCCAGTTGAACCTTGAAATGACTAGAATCTGGTCTTGAGTAAATTCTGTTGTAGCAGAAAAACTCATATTGCAAACCTAATACTTTGTACTTCGTAATTGAAATAGGATATCGTTTACTTCAAAGTGTACCTGGTTAGGACAGTCTTATGTTGATTGCAATTTACAATTTTTAAGCATGAAACCTTGATAGAAATCTAGTAGTCTGGGAGAAGTTTCCCAGTACGTGCCCAGGCAGAACATCTGCTGACTAAGATGGCCTATTTTGTGATACAATGAAAACACTATTTGGAAACATAATATACCAAAGTTACTAGGGATGAGGTTGGATATTTTTAAAAAATCACACTTAGTAATAATAGTTCAGGTAAACTGTTGGAAAAATATTGGCTCAATTAAGTACCCTGCTATTTCAGGTTCTGTTGAGGAAAATGGTGTCTGCCTTAAACCAATAGAGAGTGGCGGGGAATGCTATTATATAGGCAGACAGTCTATTTGCCTAACAGCCCCCTTCCTTCCCCTGTAGACCCTACAGATATCAAAAGGATGATTAAAGAATACTATGTGGACAATTTTACATATTTAAATCTTTTTAAAATTATTTTATGTAACTTCATTTATTTATTTGTTTATTTTATTTTGACCAGGGATGGACAGAGTGGAGGCGGGGGGAGAGAAAGCAAGCTGCCAGTTCTGGGACTCAGACCGTGGCTGGCCATGTGGGAGGCCAGTGCCCTAACCACCATGCCACTGCCTTCCCCATTACATGTTTAAATTTAACAACTTTGAAATGTACCAATTCCTAGAAAAACACAAACTATAACAACTATCCAGAGGTAATTTAAATAGCTCTATACTACTAAGGAAATTAAATTGTAATTTACAGACACCCTAAAAAGAATTCTCTGGACCCAGATTGTTTCTGAAGAATTAAATATTGAGTCATTTGAAAAGTCATGACATATTTTTCTGTTTTGCTAATCAAACATTTATGTCATGACTCCTTCAATGACCCAATACCAATGTTTAAAGAATGAGAAATTATTTCTATACAATCTCTTCCAGAAAATAGAAAAGGAAAGAAATATCCCTTCGGAATGCAGCTGCAAAAAGACATTTTTAAAAATCTGCAAACATTCAGCAATATATTAAAGAATTTACCAAGTTGGGTGTATTTCAGGTGCAAGAGTAAGTAATGGAACAAAGATAGCCTTTGCAGCAAATGATGACTGAGCAATTAGACACCTATAAACCAACAAACCAAAAACGACCAAAAATAAACAAAAAATTAACCACAATTTAAGTCTCATTTCCCATATGAAAATTAACTCAGGTCATAGACTTAAATGTAAAACATGAAATTATAAAGCATTTAGAAGAAAAAAAATAATGTATCTTCATAATCCAAAGTTAGAAAGTATTTCACGTACTTGACATGAAAAGTATAATCTATGAAAGGAAAACTGATCAATTGGGACATCAAAATTAAGAACTTGCTCTGTAGGGACAGCAGATGGCAGGGTGGCTAAGGCACTGGATCCCTTGGCCGACTGCAGCTTGAATCCCTGACCTGGAAGCTTGAAAATCATGCAGGTATGTGTGCGTGCATGTCCAAAATCCCAGGAGGAGAATAGAGAAAAAGAGATTGTGGCTTGGCCATACCCCCTGGGGGGTGATTTCTCACTCTTCTCACTGTCTGTCTCTGGTGAGTGCATGTGTCCTATAGCAAAAACCTAAAAAAAACAAAAACAAAC